CCATGTAGAAATATTGTAGAGATCAAGGGGGAAGGATCAGTACCGGAATTACAACAGGGCTGTCACCCAGAAGAACATCAGGTGGGTGGATCGCTTGATCGAGGAGGAACGTGGGCGTTGTGGGGTACCGAGAAAGTCGCTTCCGGCCCCAGAGAACTGGTGTCCAGATCTTGTTAGGGGTGGCGGAAGGGCAAGATGGGGTAGGCGGCAATGAAGACCCATCATCTAACGAAGACGGGAGTCCCAACTGCTTTAGGAAAGACTCCGCCTCATGAAGATCACAAAGAACAACTTGGGTGTTGTCTTTAGAAACGACCAGCTTGAAGGGAAACCCCCAGTGATAAGGAACACAGTGTTGCTGAAGGTGAGTGGTGATCGGCTTCAGTGCCCACCGTTTGGCCAGGGTAATCTGAGAAAGGTTGCAGAAGAGCTGGAGTCTGTCCCCTTTAAATTCCAAAGAAGATTTGTGGCGGACTGAAGATAATAAAGGCTTCTTTGCTTTGAAAAAATGGAAGTGGACTATGACGTTGCGTGGTCTGGTGCCTTCAGCAGGTTTCAGGTCCAGAGAGTGGTGAGCCCTATCCATTCCCCAATCTGTTTCTGGAACCATGGGAGTGGTTGCGGTGAAGAAGGACAATAGGTGACGGTGTAGTTGTGAGTCAGCAATTGATTCGGACATACCGCAAATACGGACATTTTGGCGACATTCCCTGTTTTCCAAGTCCTCTTGTTGGCGCTGCATTTGGGACATGGAGTGCTTCAGATATGCGTTGCCTTCCTCCAAAACATGAACGTATTGCACCAATTCAACGAACTTATTCTCCAATTGATCCGTGCGGTCTCCGATCTGGGCTATTTCCCCTCTCTGAGATACAAAGCCAATTTTCAAACTTCAGCGGATATAGAAGCTGTAATGTTGCGTAAAAATACTTGCAATTTATCATCCAGCGTAGAGATTGTGAGAGAAGATGAAACCTGCTGGGATGACAGGGTAGAGGGTGGATGATTCCCTGGTAAAGGGTGGTCCATTGCCCCTCCTGTCATTACCTGGTTGTCAAATTCCTCCACCTGGGGATTATTCAAAGCTGGAGCTGTCAGCTGCTCTGATGGGAGGTAGGTTGCAGTACCCTCTGTGGCCTCTGGGGGTCTGGGTTCGCTCCTCGGACTCATAGTGGCACTCGAAGCCGGGGATTACAGCATGGAAAGAAACCGCCAGAGCGGTGAGGGCAGTGGGTCTTGTGGCGGCGCAGAGGGAGGCTTCCAGCACCCAATCTTCCCCATTGAAAAGTCCCCCAGGTGCCAGGCCAGGTGCGGAGCTAATGTGGCTCACCTGGAGCATAGTAGGAGCTGTGTAGCATGACGGGAGAGCCAGGATGGGCCGGGGATGAGCAGAGCTCAGGAGCTACACGTCCCTGGTCGTGCATGTGCTCTCCAGAAGAAGATCTTTGAGACCGCTACTAGAACAGATGAAAGAAAAAAAGTTTGATATAACTGGGGCTTTCCAGCATGCCTGATTGGATGGAAAGATGGGAAATCCGCAAGACTGAGGTTCCCAGAAGACTTTAGTGACTTTTGCAAAAAACTAGACTTACAGAAAATGGATCTTGAAGGGTTGTCAGAGGTGCCCCCAGAGAGGGTAGGGCGGGGGACAGGAAAGTGGCAGTGGGTATCTAAGAAGAAAAACTAGGTAGACGTGGTGGGGAGGATGGGGGGGGGTTGCTGGTTTGTGGGAGGAGACCGGGGGAAGGGGAGAGGAGGAGTATTCTTAATTTTCTTCCGGAACCTGAAGGTTTTTTTTTCTCCCTCCCTCTCCTGATGCCACATCTCTAGCCCTCCTCCAGCCGCACCATAGCTCCTTCGCCCTCGGTCCTCTTCCTTCCAAGTTGAGACGATGAGTGGAGGGGAGGAGGAGGGGGGAGTGGACTCCAAAGCGGCGGGTAGCCTGGAGGCCAAACATGCGGTCAAACTCTGACAGATTCCAGGGCAACATGTAGGCCATGGGGGTTTAGAGATTACACAAAATAACGGGAGGGGAGGGTAAGAAGGGTGTGTTATAGGTGGGGAAGGGAGAACGTCCATATCTTAAATTATCTGTATCTGTCTTCCTTTAAAAGGAAATCAGGTGGTTTAGTGAAATAACAGTAGAAATGAGTTTGAATAAATATATAACGTTTAATGTGAAAGGGTTAAACTCTCCGACAAAAATACACAAGATACTCAGGAAAATTCATCAATACTCCATAGATGTATTGTTCCTTCAGGAGACACATATAACCCATGAGACAAACGTTAAATTGTATATGAAGTATTATCCAACCTGGTACTAAGCTGACTCCTCAGTTAAAAGGGCTAGCAGAGCAGCAATTGTTTTACTCTGGAGGAGAGATTGGAGGACCCAGAGGGACGGTTTCTATTCCTGAGGAGAAAATTACAAGGATTCAAATATACATTTGTTAACATCTATGGCCCAAATACCCTGTAACATTCTTGGAGGGTGTGTTAAGAAAACTTTCTGATTTCAAAAGGTGTAGTCTAGTTGTGGCAGGAGATTTAAAATTTATGTCTGGATCCCCAGTTGGATACGTCATCAGGTACGCAGAGAGAAGGGGATAGGAAATTAAAACTACTGAAGAAGCTATTATATCAATGGCAACTGACCGATACCTGGAGAGTGAAACATCCAAGAGAAAGAGACTACACCTTCTCTCCCGTGCATGGTTCATATTCAAGACTGGATTATATAATGATCGAGTATATATAATTGGAGTCGTTGGTTATCTCCAACATAGAGGTTATGTCCATCTCTGATCATGCTCCTGTCACAATGAGACTATGGGTAGGAGGCAATCAGGATAAACAAAACTTTGTGGAGACTAAATGAAATGCTTATACAGGATCCTGAAATAGAGAAAAGGTTAACGCTGGAAATCCCCTTATAGGCTACTTATAGGCTACTTTCTTGCCTATAAATCATTTGTGGTCCTAACCCCACCTTTGATTTCTCTTTAGAGTGAAGCTCTGACCATGAACGTCCCTCCAGTATTCCTACCTAAACCTCCGTGTACTTACTCAAAAAAGAAAAAGCTCAAAAAATCCTAAGAAGGAGTCAGAGCTATAGGGAGATAATGGAGGAGAGAGGGGAAAAGAAAAAAAAAAAAAAAAAAAAAACAAACACCCATCTACCCAACCACTCCCCCTCCATAAAAAAAAAAAAAAAAAAAAGAAAAATTAATTCATTCAATTCCCTCCCTCTAGTCTTGATCTACTATTTCTACTCCCTATTCCTTCTTAACAATACCTGCCATCCCTCTTTTTCTTTAGCCCATATCTCCTTTTCTTCTACTTCCCACCCAGGAATATCTACTTTCTGTAAATCAAGTCTCTCACAAAAGTCACTCAAGTCTTCAGGATCTCTCAATCTTGCTGAACGACCATTTTTCCATCCATTTAAACACGCTGGGAATCCCCAGCTGTATCGAATATTCTGCTTTCTTATCTGCTCTAATAATGGTTTGAGAGATCTCTTTATCAGTGTTTCTGCTGCTAAATCAGCAAAAAAATCTGTAGATTTATTTCTCCGTATTTTATCACTGTTCTTCCTTTTATCTTCTTCCAGATTTCTTCTTTATCTTGATAGTTATGGAGTTGCGCAATTACATCTCTCAGTTTTTCTTGTCTACCTTCTTGTTGATGTCTTCTTATTCTATATACTCTGTTCATTTTAAGAGTCTCTAATGTAGGTCTGTCCTTTATAGCATTCAGCATTTTCCTTATTATTCCCATTAGATCTTCTCCTTGAGAGATCTCTGGAAGGCCTTGTATCCTTAGGTTGCATCTGCTATCCCTATTCTCTTGATCTTCTATTTTATATAGCAGATTTCTTTGTTCTTTTCTTATTTCTATCATCCATTTTTCTAACTTCTGAATAATTTTGGCATGTTTATCCACTTTTTTCTTCCATCTCCTCCACTCTTAATATTTGCCCCAGATCTTTGTGTATTTTCGCCATTTCTTTTTTTATAGATTTCTCCAGTCCTTTGACCCTTTCTGCTATTTCTGTTTTAGTGGGCAGCTGTGAACTCTTATCTTGTTCTTCTACATTTTCCATCCCCACTTCTTCTTCCATTTGTTGACTACTATTGGCTATTCAAAGGGATAGTCTGGAGTTTTCTCCAACACTGACTTCCATCTCACTCCTTTCGCATATTCCCTGTTGTCTTTCTGGGGTCTGTTTCTCCTGTGAGGGTATTTTTTAATTGAGCCTGTTTGGGAAGCCTTAGGCCCGCCTCCTTTAGGCATTTAGGCACTTTTTTATATTGTTCGTAATATGTTCAGATTTTTCCAAATCCTGGGGATTTATTTTTTTGAGCTAAATATCAAAATTATGCTCAGTTTTATACTCTTCCGGCTTCTCTCTACTTTCTTCTTTTTCTCCCCCCCCCCCCCCCCCCTTATCTCCTCTGCCAAGTTGCACTTCTTCTGGGTATTTGTTTTATTTTTTATGCTCCTTCCACGCCTTTTCTTTTATTTCCTTCTCCTTCCTCTCTCTTCTTTTAGACAGCCTGGGTGAACCCCCCTTTAATTTTACAACACAGTTCTATACCCCCCACATTTCTTCAATCACAGCAATCTGCCGCTCTCATTCACTCTCCTGTCGCATTCTCCACTTTCTCCTGCGTGAGGCAGCCTTGAGTACTCTTCTCTGGCAGAAACTCTACAAAATTCTCTAACAAACCTCACCGTATGCTCCTTAACTAGTAGCCGACCGCAGATAGCCGAATGACGGCTGCACTGTGGCCGGCCAGTTCTGGGTGGACGTCATACGACGTCCCCCCAGAACGCACTCTCCTGCGCGCCCCCAGGAGGCGCACACCCGGCGATCTCGGTGATCGCTGTGTCCTACGGACACAGCTGATCACGTGATGTGGTAAAAGGGCCAATCACAGCGGCCTTTTACCACCTGATCAGCGGTGTCCAATGACACGCTGATCAGAGGGGAAATGCAATGCCGGTTCTCGGCTGCACTTTCCTCACGCTGTCAGATCGTGAGGAAAGTACTGCCGAGAACCGGCAGTTGTCAGAGCGGGGATCGGCACCGATCATCAGGGCACTGATGATCAGTGCCCTGATGATCGGTGCCCAGCAGTGACACCCGCAAGTTTCGCCCACCTGTGCCCAGCAGTGTGCCCACTAACTCCGCCAACCTGTGCCCACAGATCACCCACCTGTGCCCAGCAGTGCACCCACCTGTGCCCAGCAGTGCATCCACCTGTGCCACTCTGCAGTGTCACACACCCTGTGCCCAGAAGTGCCACCTACCTGTGCCCAGCAGTGCCACCCACCTGTGCCCACCCACCTGTGCCCACCAGTGCCACTTGCCTGTGCCCACCAGTGCCACCACACCTGTGCCCACCCACCAGTGCTGCCCACCTGTGCCCACCCACCAGTGCAGCCCAGCAGTGCTGCCAGTCAGTGCCACCAGTCAGTGCCCAGCGGTTGTGCCAGTCAGTGCCGCCAGTCAGTGCCCAGCGGTTATGCCAGTCAGTGCCGTCCATCAGTACCCATCATCAGTGTCACCTATCAGTGCCGCCTATCAGTGCTGCATATTAGTGCCGCCTATCCGTGACACCTCATTAGTGCTGTCTTATCAGTGCCGCCTATCCGTGCCACCTCATTAGTACTGCCTATCAGTGCCCTTTAGTGCTGCCTATCAGTGCCCATTAGTGCCGCCTATCAGTGCCCATCAGTGCTGCCTCATCAACGCACATCAGTGAAGGAGAAAAGTTACCTGTTTGAAAAATTTTATAATAGAAACAAAGAAACTTTTTTTTTTTTCAAATTTTTTGCAACTTTTTTATTTATAGCGCAAAAAGTAAAGCGCCCAGTGGCGATTAAATACCACCAAAAGAAAGCTCTATTTGTGAGAAAAATCTGTGATCAAAATTTCATATGGGTACAATGTTGCATGACCGCGCAATTGTCAATCAAAGTGCGGCAGCGCTGAAAGCTGAAAATTGGCCTGGTAAATAAGGGGGTATAAGTGCCTGGTAGGCAAGTGGTTAATAGACTTAAAGCACAGTCCCCCTCTACAATGCCGGACCATCTTGTCCAGCCGAATGGGAGCCCTACTTATGACCCTCATGTAATGGTCTCCCCTTTTGGCTCATATTATGAGTCCCTTTACAATTGTTTGACCCCAGACCTCCATCCTCCTCTCACAGAGACTTCTTTTGATAGGTTTTTCAATCCTCTACTATTACCAAAGCTATCGACTTCTGACATCTCGGTCCTCAATGCTGACATTTCATCTGAAGAACTATTTGATACAGTCAAACATCTCCCCTCACGCAAAACTCCAGGACCAGATGGACTTCCCTACTCTTATTACAAAGACTTTCATTGGTATCCTGGCTCCTCACCTTTTTTCTCTCTACCACAATTTTTTTTAAAATTTTTTTACCCAAGCTGACTTTTTTCCCGTGCATACATCTCTGTAATTCCCAAACTTGACAAGGATTATTCTATCTTAGATAATTACCATCGTATTGCTCTACTAAACTCTGATTACAAGATTTTTTACTAAGATCCTAGCCAATCGGCTGTCTAGGTTCATCTCTAAGCTCATACACATAGACCAAGTAGGCTTTGTCCCTGCCAGACATGCAGCGAATAATACCAGGAGATCCATTAATCTGGTTGACTTGGTTAACCGGTCTTCCATCCCCACCATTTTATTGAGCTTAGATGCCCCAAAAGCTTTGACCGCCTCAGCTGACCTTATATGTTTATGGTTTTGGAGAAGTTTGGCTTCCGTGGCCCTTTCGTGGCAGCTTTAAAAGCCCTCTACTTTCATCCTTCTTCACAGGTCAGATTGGCCCCTTTTCTCTCGTCTCTCGTCGTCCTTTCCTCACTTGTGAGTTTTATTCTTTCATTAAAAATTTGTTTACATGTGTGAAACTTGCTGCACCATGATTTTTTTCTCTTACCTTTTAAACATGGTCCCCAATGGTATGGAGGTGTATGAAAGGAAGATGAGCTTTATCCCTGGAAATCTCCTATATCCTTGAAGGGTGGCTGTTTATCTGAGGAGAGTTTGTTTATTTGCACAGCATTGCATTCACGAATTGGACTGCTATATATTTCCCCAGAGCAAAAAGTACTTGTTGCTAGTTCAATTGTTTAGCATTTAGCTCTGGTGAGTGACTCAAAAAATTTTTTTCTGGTGGTGGCTTTTACACAGTGTGGTCACTATTTGAAGGCTTTGTTGAATATTTAATGATTTATGAACATTTGTTATAATAATTTTTATATATTTTCTCACATTTATTTTGTAATTATTTAGCGCATTCCTTTAATTTATTTACATATTTTTTGATGTTGCAACTGTGGTGGTCTTCTAATATGGTGCTGGTATTTCTAGTTTGAGTAGAAGTGACAATGCCAATGGGCCATGTCATTTCCAGCATTTCTCCTTGGTATGCTGAAGCTGAATACAGTATCCTAGAGACATGCTCACATTTTGTGGCATAGCGGGGTGCAGAGGACAATGGACCTAGGCAGAACCAGCATTCCCAGTATATAGAAAGAAATAACATCATATGTAGAGATGAGCGAAGTATTCAAAAATTCGATTCGACTGATTCGGCGAATTCGTAGAAAAATTTCGATTCGAGTCGAATATATTCGCTGTGAATTTAACTTAAAAAAGGGTGTTTCTAGGCTTCAGAGAGACTTAATATTAGTGCTGAAACACTGTACCTTTAATTTAAATGCCCTTGGAGTCTGCTGGGGAAGAGAAATAATACTGTCAGGCAGTATGACATGCAGATGAGTGCCGTCGATCTTAGAATCACCGCACACTTCACTCATTTGGCCAGTCACGGGGCCAAAACCAGAGTGTGGAGCCACAGTGTGGCGGTGGAGCATCCAGCAGCAATGGGAGGCCATACAGCACCCTATGACAAAAATGGAAACCACCAGCAGTGTGAGGAGACCTGAAAGTGGCACATGGCAGAGTGTGGCGATAGAGACAGCAGCAAATGGGAGGCCGTACAGGGACCCATGACACACTCTGGACCTGGCAGCAGCATGAGGAGGCGGTACAGGGGCCCATGGCAGATTACGGGCCTGGCAGCAGCATGAGGAGTCGGTAACGGGAGCCCATGGCAGATTACAGGCCTGGCAGCAGCAATGGGAGGCCCGTACAGGGACCCATGACACAATCTGGACGTGGGCAGCAGCATGGGTGAGGCGGTAGAGGTAGGTACAGGGGCCCATTGACAGATTACGGGCCTGGCAGCAGCATTTGGAGTTGGTACGGGGGCCCATGACACACTCTGGACCTGGCAGCAGCATGAGGAGGCGGTACAGGGGCGCATGACAGATTACGAGCCTGGCAAGCAGCAACTTGGACA